CTTCGCCTTGTTTTTAATTACCAACAAGATAAACCTTGTTCATGTATAAGTTATTGAGAAAACAATTGTATACACAATAGTATAACGCGATTTAAAACCCATTTGCGAACTGTGTTTTGGCTTCTACATACATTGGCAATTTTTTTTACAGTCAAAAAACCGTTAGCTATCAAGTGTGTATTGGCGGTAATTTAATACAATAAGAGCTATTTTTCATAATTGTAATTTTTTATAAACTTAATTGCAGTTTTGAATATAAGATGCTAACATAAATTGGTCAATTTGTCATTCTGCAATTAAAGCAAAGTAAATATTAAAAATATGTGTGTTTAACTTTGAAATTCAATAGAATGACGTAAACTATACATAATAATAATTTCAAACTGTATACTTACAAATGTTTGAATACCGCGAAAGTGGGTTAGATATTTTACGCGCGGACTTTTAAAAAGTCGTATTTCCCGCGCGAATGGAACGTTGTTTGCGGCGGTCGGTCACTTACTGCGAGTACGCTGCTCTACTCTGCGCTTTCTCTGCTAACGGTATCTACTGCTTTTCGCGCGCGTTCCTCTCACAGTAAACATAATAATTAAAGAACAAGTATAACCTCAAACTTGTTGTGTTTAACTTGTCAATAATATACAGTTTCCGTCCTAAAATATCTACCTTTTATCATTAACTTATACCAGTCCACATAGGATATAGTCAAACATAGGTAGTCTCCAGTCTTCAAAGCATTCCTTAATGCGGTCTTGCTCACCACATGCAGTAACTTCCGTCCGTTCTCACGAGGTCATGTCTTAAATTTAAGAGAGGTAATAACTGAATAAAAAACTAACATTTGATATTATACTGCAGTGAACATAGCAGTACTGGATTTTAAAGTAAAAAAATAATACATTTTCTTTAAATTAATTATGTTGTCTGTTGTTTTTGTTATGTATAACTTTCAGTGTACGTAATTATATTCCTTTCGTTCTCAAGTTATGTCCTTAACAAAAATAAAGCAAATCAAGGTCTCTGACTGACGTGAAAGCTAAGGAAATTTCCACTTCAGAACGAGGAAAGAGATTGTAATATAAAAGGATGGCTGCAATTCCGATTTTTTTAATTTTACCGAGAGCTTACTTTTCTGATACATTTGTACATATTTTTTTTTAAATGAGAATTTTGATAGTATTATAGTATTGGAATTTCTCGACAAGTGTTAGAATAACCTATTTGCTTGTTACAAAAACATTTAACATAATTATAATGCAATATTGTAATGGGATATTAATGGTCAAATCAAGTACTTTTTCAAGACATAAGTGTTAACATTAAAGTAACAATTGTGACGTCACATAAAGTGAGAGGGTGATGATATTACCGCGATAGACAGAACATGTGTGCAACATCATTTTTAACTTAATGGCACAAGAACATCATTAGTCTGGTCATTTAGAATGTTTAATTCAATAATTATACAAATGGGTTTCGATGTGTTGAGCGATAGGAGTCGGCTTTCATTGTCCACAAGTTCTCTTTGAAAAAACAATCTTTCTCATATTATAAATGTGAAGGCTTGGCTGGGTAAATGTTAGAATTTTTAAACAGCTTCAAACAGTCAGTGAAATTTTACAGTAATATATAATATATATACCAAAAATTATGTAAAGAAAATTAGCAGAGTCGCAGTAAGGCAAATTAGATTATGACCATGAAATAAACAGCTTATTTACTTTTTTTTTCTTTAAGCCAAGTACTAAGAATCATCGATACGGAGTAATGCGACGTCTAAATCTTGTATTCATCTCATATCGCGTAAAACAAACGTGAGGAGTTTTGATTATATCAAAATATGCAGAGACAAGATACATGATTGATACCAGAGGAAGTAATTTAGTATTGAACTTGAATGGAATAAAGGAGGACATAGAATTCTTTGTGATCTACGGATTGCTCGTCAGACCAACGATTATATCTTCACAGTAGGTATGTAGAGCTTTGTTTGGTCATTGTATTAAGTTTCCTTGGACCTCCGGCCTCAGTCTTCATCAGCCTTCAACCCAGTATGCCAAGGAAGTTTTCGATGACTTTTCACGACGAATTAAACATCTGTATTTGGGCTAGTCACAGTCTTTTATGACAATTTTTTGACGGAGGACGCACAGAAACAGTATATTTCTGTCCTCTACGCTGTCAAATCCACATTACTTGTCACTGTCGCGCTTGCTTAAACGAATCTTGACTTGTTAAATATAAAATCGGTCCCTTACCGTGGGTTTCTAAGATAGAAATCCCGTTTTGGTCTTAGAAACCATCGGTAAGTAAACAAATTTTAAAATATGCAGTTTAAACTTACGATATTATCATATTTGTGCAACGTAAATGCTAATAGTCATATGGGTATTTGTGTCCCGACTGGCACATGCCATTCTCGTCTCGTTTTGTATGCAGTCAACGTAAATTTGTCATTAGTTGAGGTCGGCCGTAATAGTCCATAGTCATGGCTTTGTTTGTACCGTCAAAGTGTTGAACGTGACACAAAATTCTATGATAGTTATTTAGTTGTAACGTTGACATACTTACTGATATTGAAAAGATGATATTAAAAATGATTGTTTTTCAAAATGTGTCCATGAATATATATATATAAATAGTTTAATTAGTCCAAACAAAAGACAGGCGTGAAGTGGAAGCCGTGTGCGTTGCGGAGGCTGTCTTCTGTGTGGTCGTGGTATTGGTATCACCGGTGAGCCGGCTAATGCGTACAGCAGATGTGTATTGCTCGTTATACTATTGATTAAACTTTCCTGTTTCTAGGCGTCCACTGTCCATTAAAGGTAGGCAATGCATCTGCGATTACGGATTTGCCACCGTATAGTATAAAAATATTGTGGTTGGTTTTTGTTATTAAATTGTTAATTTGCGTTTTAAAAATATTTTAAGTTTTTGTCAAGAATTATAAAATGTGTTAAACTTTATAAAAAAAACATCGTAATAAAAATTACACAAAAGGAAAAAGGTTAAATACAATTTTCCTTATAACAATGGTATGGTAAAGGTAAAGGTAAATGACAACACTTTGGAATATTACCACAAAGAAGGCCTTTTTTTTCAGAGGGGAATGCTTTATGCATACTCCGCGCCCCGGGGGGACGCGGTAGTTATGTGGGATTCTCCTCCATAGCGGAGGCATACCCACTAAACCCCTCTGTTCCTCCAACGCATCGGGACGGGACCACGGGCACACTATCGCTCTCGTCCGCGGCCACCACAAAGAAGGCCTGGCGTCTCACTTTTGTGGTCCTGATTAAGTTACTATATATCTATAGCTATGTTGTACGAATGATGAAATATGCCTTTATATGTTATACTAGCTGTCGCCCGCGACGCCGTCCGCGTGTTTGTCTAAAAAATAAAAATGTTGGGGTGGACTACCCTTAACATTTAGGGGGATGAAAATAGATGTTGGCCGATTCTGATACCTACTCATTATGCTCACAAAATTTCATGGGAATCGGTCAAGCCGTTTCGCAGGAGTACGGGAACGAAAATTGTGACACGAGAATTTTATATATAAGATTTGTCGGTCTCTTTTCTCATTGACTCTTAATTTTCTAGTCCATGATACCTAATAAATAATTTTCAATATAATCTTAAAACAAAAACAAGACATAAATAGCTTTTAAAGTAGCCACTTAAAAAATAATAGAGCAAAAAGTTTCAAGCGCATCAAACTTTTTTATTTTAATGTAATTTAAGATGGAAAACCTGCTCTGTCCGGGGCTTATATTGCAAGCGTTCCCTTTTTAAAACTGGCCACAGTATTTAACTTTATAATTAATTACCTTATATCATTAGATGTCATCTTTGTTGGTCCACTTGATGTTAATAAACGCTATTTAATTATTTGATACTAATTCTAAAGTGCGTCTTACTTTATCGAAAGCGCCTGTAAAAATTATAATAGCATTGGAAACTTCGTTATAATTTGCTAGCACAACAATGCGTCGGCGCTTTTAGTTTAGTATAATCCATGCCCGTTCTCCGTGTCGTTATATCTCGGCGGTTCGGAACTTCGTAGCGTGGTGTATAGCATGTGGGGGAAGGCACAGCGCAGTTCACACCTCCAAGTCAACCGTCAGGCTATTTCAGAAACTAAAGAAAGGTAAGCTTCTACTAAATAACTATTACTCGATAATTCATCATCAACCTACCCTTATCCCTATTCAAGGTCGGCACAGTATGTACTACTCCTCCATACATCTCTATCAGCCATCATATCTGAATTTACCCCCATCCTACGCATATCCTCTTTCACACAGCCATTCCATACCTTTTTTCATTCAATCTCATTACTATTACTCGATAATTAACACTGATAAATTCGGTATTACGTCATAAAATACCTACCTACCTACTCCAAAGTGAATAATAATACATCTTACTTTTTGTACATTATTGCTTCGATGATGATTTATGATATTTTGCACATGCAAATATGTTTAACACTTAAGCAATTAATTACAAAATATGTTGGTAATAAATAAAACATTTTGATAAATTATAAAATTTACAACTTGATCTTGAGATTGGTGTGTATACAAAATCATTAAATTCTTTGTAAAAATTTGTGCTGACGAACTATGTCTGCAGTGTTTCCGCGATGTCTCATTACTATTTACCTCTTCACAGTACACCTTTTGACCTTATAAATTTGGGCTGGAACGCGAATTCGAATTTCTGCAATCCGATTGTTGGTTCTTGAAATAAAAGCGCTAAAACAAACTCTGCGGCATTTTTATAATATAATTACGAACTGCAAATGTAGATTCGGTTTATTCAGTTCCAAGATTATGTTTTGGTAGCATCAAATTTGGAAGTTTGCAAAGTTAATTGATTTTGAGCCCATGCGCAGAGGCTATAAGCTATATAATGCATACGAAAAAATTGCCTCAAGGTCACAGACTCACAGAGGGTGTAGGGTCGAGCGTATTGCGCGCGCACTGCGCACGACCCGCTAGCCGCCACCGCTCCGCTCAGTCGATTCGCAGCGCCGAGTGCGTCCGCTGGCTGCACGCTTGACGCCTTTGCCGGCGCGCGATTAAAAAATAAACATTACAAAATCTGTCAACACGTTCGTTCATTTTGAAGCCAAATATTTCAAGAAGATAACGAATACGATCTAGTGTTGTGCTTGTGAAACAACTGAAAACAACCACCGAATAATTTGAAGTGTTAATAATTAACAATTTTGGTAAGTTGCAATATCCAATAGGGCTAATAATGTAATGTTGATATAAGTTAAGCAAACGCTTTCGTAGTAGTAGACATAAGTATAAGATTTTCGAAAGTATTTCAAGGCGATCATGCTTCTCGCCTCATGACTTTGAATTAGATTTTAATCGATCCGACGTATATGATTTTAATTTTCCAAAGATTATTAAGCAAATATTAATGTCGAGTAGATTATTATTTATTTTACATTGGATCAATGTTGTAATATTAAAAGACTACAAAAAGTTTCTTAATTAGCTTGAAAGTCAGTACAACACATAATCTTAACCAATTAAGTTTAATAACTTCACTTTGAGGTAAAGACGATAAGTCGTAAACTCTACTTAACATATTATTTTATATCGAGAAGGTGCAATTTTGAATATGCGTGCGTAAACTTGAGGTAAATTATGATGTCAAGGTGAATGTCGTGAAATTTAATGACACTCCGCGCAGCCTAAAGTGTACAATAATTTTGAATTCAAGAACGAAATAAAAAAATCAAAATGTATATAAGCATAATTTTGCAATGAATTAAAAATTAATGTCTTGCTGAAGACCAGTTATGATTTCATTTGACAGTTCGAGTTTTTCCATGATTGCATTCGTTGCATTTAGGTCAATCTTACGGCTAAGAAAATGCCAATAAAAATATAATACTCTCGACCAGCAGTAATTGATTTCTCTTTTGTCATTGATATTTATAACTGCTTGAAAACAACGAACGATTAATATTATGCAGGTTAAAAATACTATGCAAAGAATTTTTCTTATGGATTAGAATTTAAGTTATTTTATATATTTATAACTACTTGTCGCCCGCGACTCCGTCCGCGCGACTTTAAAAAAACGTAATTAGTAGCCTATGTCTATTTTCAGACTATGCTCTATATCTATGCCAAATTTTAGCGAGACTCATGCAGCCGTTCTAGAGATATCTTCAAAGAAACATCCATCTATCCATCCAAACATTCTCAATTATAATATTACAGTAAGAGTAAAAAGTAAGATTAGAGGTATATCTGTAATGAGTGATGAAATTCATTAATATTGTTTCAGCTACTTGCTAATCAAATTCTTGACGTAGATCGGATAAGTACACTATCATTAAAATAGGTTACACCTAATTCTTACGTGAAATTACATCAATCTTCATATCAAGTCTTAATAGAGATTATCTTTTCTTTTAAAAAATAACAGAATTACATTATATCATTTATCTTTTACACATAGTAAGACTGATTGCAAATTTTTGCTATTCCTATTACCCTTTAAATTTATTAACCTATTTAACCTAGGAGTTTAAACGTTAAAATTTATTTAAAGCAAGATACAAAGAGTAATCGTCATGATGCACTGAATGCAGACTTGGCTCACAATAAACGGCTATAAACTGAAATGGTTGTCGGAAACATAAAATCGATTGAGATTGTGAAAATAAGCAATGAACCCAATTGAATGGAGAGGAAATGTATTCCGCGGGAATGTTTTTTGTGTAAGTTGGTAATTATATAGTAAGTCATCAGAAAAAAAATGTGCATCTTACTTCTTATTAATCTTACTAATATTATAAATGCGAAAGTAGTAGTAGTGTGGGTCAAATTTCTTTAAAATAGATTTATACCCACATGTAGAACATAGTCTAAAAGAACAGATGCTACTTATTATGTTTCTTTATTACCACGTGGACGGAGTCGCGGGCGACAGCTAGTTATTATATATAATGACTTGAGAGTATTTTAGCCTGTGATACGATGTTGATAAATCGTCAGTTGGTTCCGTTCATGCCGAGTAGGCAAGGCGTAGCGTGCGCGGTTGGGAAACGAAACACAGAAGGCCGTCCGGTCTACGTCGACGGGCATATCGACATCGTTGCGTTCCTATTTCATTTAATTCTTACTTAAGGATAAACATATTGAGATTATATAACACTAGTTACTTGAAAAAATAGTAAAAAATGACGAGAAAATTCACTGAAACATTCAACCTTCGAACAAAAGCCAGATATAATGATACTCGTGGTCTCTGCAACAGAATTTTTTTTTAGTTAATCATAATGTACTTCATAACAATGTTGTATAAAAGTTGGGGTATTTTATTAAAAAATATTATGTAATCAAAGTTGAAGGTGAACTCGAATGTACTTGGTCAAGATTACCCAGTTAACATGCGTTAAAAAATATGAATAAAGCAGTAGCTAATTTTTTAAGCTCATCAAGGAAATATACAAAATAAAATTTTATTTTTATAACTTTGACCAAAGGTTAATTAAATAAATTGTCAGATTAAAATACCACGATATTTAAATCGGTTTAAAGTTATTTATGTTCATATCAGATGCTGTTTTGAATAAAATTTATTTTACTTACTACATATTGACGTATTCAAAATGAGACTGATCACCGTAGATTTAATCTAGCTCAATAGTTTGAATTTCTTAGTTTACAAACTCGCTTATAATGTATAATTTATTATTTTTTAGTCGTCATTTAAACTCCGGTCATATTAAATAATCCTGGTGAAGCTACTAAAATCGCATAGAGTCAAAAATTGGTAGTAAAGGTCAGAAATCTTTTATGTATAGATGCCTTGTGTTCCCTTTGTAATTATAATAAAAAATAATTATTCAGGGTCAAAGGTTTTTTAATGTTTTTCAGAACAAATAGTAAGTGTATTATTAGCAAAAAATTGCCTCATAGAAAAATTTAATTAGAAATATTCCTATAAAATACATCTCTGCATTTTTTTTCTAGTAGCCACGATTTTGAGATATCACCGACGAAAAAATAAATTGGAAATATTAAATATTGTTAAAATAAATAGTAATTAATTAATATAAATAATGTCAAATTGAACATTTAAGAGATTGTTATTTCAAGCATCGCTTTCGAAATACGACCTCCGTTGACTTAACTCGGTTAGTTTGTTGAAATCTTTGTTTTTCAGTTATTTTTCGAGCTTAAATATGTTTCAACAATCAATTTGACACGTCGTTGTAGTACAATTTCGTAACGGTTTCAATGTTATTGAAAGTTGTGCAAGTTAGTTTAAGTCGACAATCACAATATGAATGCATAAAAGATCTTCGTTAAGATGTAATATGTACATCTTTGCGGAACTCAAAACTGTAATATGAGTAAGATTTTTTCCATATTTTAAAAGAAAACACAAGTTTCCTGACCAGAATAATATGAACTCATATAGTAAAGAATCAACAAATTAATATACTATTATGTGGATTGAAAATTTTGTAAATTCAGATAAACATATGAAGGAAAAAGGAAAATAAAGTTTTGTTAATATATGTCCAGTGGGTAATTTACGGTATGTATATTTATTTAGTAGGAAAATAACAAAATACGATTTGAATATTTGCATTACATCTATGCCAAATTTAATTTAGATATGTTGAGCCGTTTTTGATACACATTCTAAAAAACATCTATCCATCTAAACATTCCGATTTATGAGGACAGATATACACACACTGAACTCATATTTTAATATGTATTCCGGCACATTGTTAGTTTATAATGATCTAATTGAACTTAAGCGCAACTTCAAATTTAAACGTGATAATATGAAATATATATTATTATTACATTTTAATATAAATGTTATTTCTCAGTGCATTATATGTCTTATTTCCATGTCTATAATTTGTGTTTCGAAACATCTACTGTCCTTTTTTTGCGTATACTTTCTCCCGTGCTTTCTCCGCGTTCGATGAAGTTTTGGTTGTTATGCCGTCGAGAGCGGTCATTAACGATATTACTTTGAGACTTGATGATGATTGGACTGGACTTTTCTATTTTTACGAGTCCAGTCTTGTACACGTGTGATTAAGTATACCAAGACAGTTATTCACATAGAATTTATAACCTTAACCTACATTAAGAATTACTTGATAACTAGCAAGCTACTCATAAAATGGATTTCACTATTTTTTATATCTGTTTTATATGTCTCTTTCTGTGTCACTGAGCTGTTAATAATAGGTCTTTAAGATTCTGTAATAGTTACTTATTTTAGTATGTAAAAATAATTGGCGTCATCTTTCCCATATTCGATTGCCGAAATTTTATGGCTACATGGATATCGCTGAAATTTAGCATAGATGTAGAACATAGTCTAGAGGAACATATAGGCTACTTTTTATTTATATTAAAACAAGAGTGTCCGTGTGTAATCTTGTGTGATTTTTGGTTTAAGGCGTTATACTAGATTTTATTAAATATGATATTCTGCCTCTATATAACATAATATTCTATCGGTTTCCAGTATGATTTACAATATTATAGAATGTAAAGTGCTTGCAGTGTTCCGCAAGAGTACGCTCCACGGGTTTCTTTACTTATGAGCACGTTTCTAAAATGTTCTTTTTTTATGCACGTGGTTTAACTATTAGATAGTGTCTATTTATAATCTAATATATCTCAATATGTCTCCTGGTGAGTTGTATTTTTGCACGACTGTCAATCCTGTTGGAGTGTAATGGTTTTCGAGTTGATGTATTGTATTTCCGGATGAGAGGATGCATGGAAAGGGAATATATTTTCTTTCTGTGCATTCTCTTCTCGGTTAAAGGTAGGCAACGCATATGCAATTGCGTATGCCTATGGGCAACGGTCACTTCGCTATATCAGCGATTTCAGGTGGCCGCTCGCTCGTTTGTCACCTTATGATATAAAAAAAAATGTCGGTTCATATGTTTAAACCAACGTCAATCTAAACAGCTTGGCTTTTAAAATGGGAGATAAGGTTTAATTTTTTTTCCTGGGATGGTATTATACGAATGTTCTTTTTAAAGAAACAAAGTACTGTCTAGACGGCCGGATGCAAATACCAACTAAGTTTTTTGACATTTATGCTGGTTAAATTATTAACCAATTATATTTTCAAAAATAGATTTGAAGGTTAGCTGTGTTATACAGATTAAAATAAATTGCAGACCGGTTTTTCAAATTTAATTTTTTAAAA